ATATTTACTCCAATGACCTGAAAGTCTGCGGTTGACAGCATCGTTATTTGGCTTAATAGACGTGAAATGAGTTCCTATACCAAAGTATTCCAGAGCGCTGAGCTAACATCACAAAGTGTGTCATTTCTTTTTACCACTGTCAGCTCACAGCAACAAACTACTGCGGTAAATCATCCCTGTCTTGTTATGTTTTGGGAGGGATCTGTTTGTTCAAAATATGCAAATGTGGATTTTTAATGGAATCGATAAATGTGGAGTAGAACATCTGGGTAAAACGCATCTATGTTATTATTTAATTATTTTACATTCCTTTCAAAGACTCTGCAACTCTTTTGAATTTTATCCCCATTCTACCATCTGTTTTTTTTTTTTTTTTACTATGGAAGGACTGTTTTTGGGTTGTTGTTTTTTTGGGCTTTTTGCAGCTGAGAACAAAACACTTGTATATTTGAGGACATAAAATCTGTGTTTTCTAAAAATTAATTTTAGTCAAAATGTGGGCAATTTTTACTGAACACAAGATGAGATTTAAAAAAAAAAAGTGGCTTTTTTTCTATAACATATAACAGCTGCATATTCTGTAAAGTTAGAAAAAAAAGTGTTGCTATCTAGTCCAATTTTAGCAAAGCTTTTCTCTCAGTGACATTTAGTTATTTGAAACCAGTCTTCATCTGAATATTTGCTGCATCATCATGACGTTAACTTACATTTTTTACACGACAGTGGAGTCCATTGCTTCACAGTCCCACAAGTCCAGGTTCAAACAGTTACCTCATGCACTGGCACGGTGTTACAAAGGGTTCTGTGTTCCCTCTGGTTGCATAACAGAAGGGATTTAATGCAACTCTATAGGTGCATTGTATGTTTATAACTGTTTACAGCTCTCTTCCCTGCTTCCCTCTGTGAGCATGCATTAAGGGAGTTGCTGAAACCATTTTATATTTAGTTTGACAGTAAAATACCACACTGTGTGAATAATACAGATGGAATCAAACTTTTAAAGCGTCCTTTCATGAAAAGATGTAAGTGTGAGACAAAATGGATTTTAGAGAACAAAAGTTAGCAATGGCATAAATAAAAAGTCAAAATCTTCAGTCACTAAAAACTATAGCATCAGCAGAACAGTTGGAAAACACAAAAACTGAGATTTCAAAGTGGCATTTCTTCTAATCAAAAAAGATTAGCTTCCATTTCTTCCATTCCATTCAATTCCATTTTTAGTTTGACATGTCATAGTTTGTGTTTACTCATTTCAGTGGTAACTAGAATTACTGTCCTATAGTTATATGCCTCCACCAACCAGTCACACTGCAGAAAAAGTGATTTTGCAGAGCATTATGATGGCACAGTGAAGCTGACCTTTGACCTTTTGGATACAAAATGTTAGCACTTGATCATTTTTTCCTGTTAGACGTTTGTGTGAAATTTAGTGTTTGAAGTGTAGACTGAGGGCCAAACACAGGGTTTGTAAGGTTAAAATGACATTTGACCTTTCACCACCAAATCTGTTGAGTCTAAGTAAGCGTTTGTGACAAACTAGATGAAATTCACACAGGGGTTCATGATTTACAAGGTGCTATCAAAAAGATCTAAGACTGTTTGTGGTGCGATTGCATGGTCACATACACACAACATGTGTAAGCAGTAACTGTCATGAGTCAGGAGACTGATTGTGATTTCTCCATGAATCTCAAACTGGAGTAAAAGCAGCCAAGATGATCCAACCTTTTTGTGGAGGATCATCACTGCTGACAAAATGTGTGTCTGCAGCTTCCACTAAGGGAAAAATCAGCAGTTTTCACCATGGAGGAGCTGCAGTTTCCAAAACCAGACAGGGCACATCAGGTCAGGAACACAAGGAGCAGGCTCATTCTTCAACATTCACGAGGTTGCGCGCTGGGAATTCACACCTCAGGGTCGGACTGTCGAGGCAGAGTCCTACTGTAAAACCCTGATGTGTCTCAGAGGGAACATTCAGCTCAAATGACCAGGGGCTGCATTTATCATCAATGCGTAGAAAAGTTTCTAAATTCTGTTGTAAATTTAGAATGTGCGTAAGTACAAAAAAATCTGGATGTATCAAATGTGTGTGGGTCGTACGCACGTGTTGATAAATTACACTTGTTCTTAACCTCCATGCTTGCGCACGTTGCCTTCAGAAATGCCTCCAAATCACCATATATGGCAACAACACGCCTCTTTATAAAGCAAGTGAAGATTTATTTTTTTGGCAAAAAGGGCGAAAATGAGGAATTTTTCTGGAGCTGAGATCGAGGTACTTGTCAGCGAGGTTGAAGCAAACCAGAAAATATTGTTTGGTGTGAGAAATGTTGGGATAAGCAGCGAAAGAAAAAAATGCTGCATAGCACCAGATAACCACTCCAGTTGTTTCTTTTGGGTCATAGGAGAGATCGTCGGCAAACATTTTAAAAAGTGGTTTGACGTTAAGCTCAGTGCCAAAAAACACATCACAGTCCATAAAAGAGAAATGGCTGCAACTGGAGGAGGGCGAATTAATACCTAACATTCACCCAGCGGATAACCCTGATCACTACAGATGAGATGTTTTAATAATCAAACTAAGTCCAGCAAAAACATTTCCACACTTTGCAACACTCACCAACAAGCCAGCCATCTTCAACAGCTCCTGCTTGGAGACGCACCCACGGGGCTGTTCTGAATAATGAATGAATGGTCCTCCAGACCACCAGGCAACAATGTTTGATAGCGATAAATGTGCATCGCAAGTTATTTGTACATTGATTGAATGAAACCATTTTCTATTAACGTAATTCAATTTGTTTAATGATGGTGCTTTGACTGCGATGTGGGTGCAGTCTATGGCTCCAATTGTGTTTGGGAATCTAGTGATGGCGTGAAGTCCCTGTTTGGTTTTGGCTTGTTGGTGATGGCTGTAAAGGAACTGGATGTAGGCTGGGGCCAGAGGAGTTATGGCATCCAACACTGCCAGTATGATCCTGCTTAGTGATGGCTGGGAAATACCACATATGTCTCCAACCTCACGCTGGAATGTGCCGGTGGTCAAAATCCCTGAATGCTTTCTATTTGTAGTTTCACAATTCTTCCGCTAGATTATGTGCATATGCATGGTCAGAGCTGTGCGTATATTTACACACATTCCTAAGTATAAGTACAAGTTGATGAATTCCATACTTTGCGTAGGAATGTTCGTACGCACTCTCTACACACATATCTGTGCGTACGCACTATGATAAATGAGGCCCTTGGACTGTAGTGCAATGGCGTGCGGGCCACAACAACACAACCATTGCTCCCCTTCTGCCCTACTAGCTACATTTGTGCCAAATCTAAACTATTTCCACTAAGTTGCTCAAGCAATATTGTGTTTACGAGAATAGGATAAATGGATAGACAGATGGAGGGGAACCCAAAAACATACAACCTCAAACCCTCGCTGTTGCTGGTATCAGGGCATATTTATAACTTTGTCACCAGAAGGATAATTTGAGTTTCATGTGAAGTTTAAACAAGAAGAGCAAAGAGATTTTAGTGAAGAATCTGGATTGTGTTTGTTCAAGCAGTGTGCAGCCTAAAGCTGTGTCGCTTTCAGAGAAAAGCTGAAACTTATTATGTGTTTTACAGAGAATTACAATCAGATTATGCATTTTATTTTGAAATATTTTCATCTTAAACAGTTTTATTTCTAGAATGCCTCCTAAACATATTGTCCGCTTAATGTGGCGCACATTAGAGAAAGGCTGAGGGACAGCCATGTCTACAGCAGATACAATGCATACGATCTGCATTCAGTCAGCGTCAGTGGTTGTTAATAATCAATATTAATTACAAGCTGGTGATCTATACATTATGCCTACAGTGTATTTCTGCTGCCTAATGCTGGTTACAGTCCAGTGTAATTGTTCAGACATACTGTGTATGTGCTCTGTTTTTAATGCAGTTTCTCAGGATTATCTGGATTCATTCCTGTTACATAAACACAAACTCACATAAAGACCACGCTGTCGCCCCCTGAATGAATGCAAAAGTATCTCATTAGCATTTGTAAGCTTAAGTACAGCCTGTTAAGACCTTACTGCAGGGTATGCAGTCATGTCTCGGAAACAGAGACTACAGTAACTGTTGGAGAAATGTACACAGTGTAATGACGTACTGTAAAAGTGTTATCTCTGATGTGGTCTGCACTAACCTGCTGGCTGTGATAACATGAAGGCAAACATGGGTGGACCTGAGAACTGAGAATAACCCAAACATGAAGTCGTGAGGGAGGGAGTTTAGAGTCACATTTCAAATCTAAAATTTTTCAAACACGCACAAAAAAAACGGTGAACCAGCACACCTGATTTGTACTATACTGAGAATTGTTTGTTTTAATTAATGTATTTTTCTTTTATTTTCTTTGTCAGCTTGTTTTCCTCATTTTTTGACAATTATTCACAGAACTGGGACTGTAATATCTGTGTTTTGTGACATTTGTTCAATCTCCTGTTCACTTTTTTTGGATTGATTTGTGTCACCAACTTCAATGCCATTTAGTGTAAAATTTTCTTTGGAAAGGCCACTTATTTTAAAGCAAACAAGGTAAGTTTATCGAGTTTCATACTCAAAGGGTGGGTCAAAGTATTGTAACTAAAAAAGTGAAAAGGAACTTGTCGTCAGTAGCAATGCCTGTAGCTCCACTTTTATTTTCCCAATAATCTGGCAAACCTTCTCTGCTGATAGATCCTGTATATTAGCTGCAGTGGGAGCTGATTAACAAAGTGTTGTAGGTGGGGTTAGACAACTAAGACGCCCAGATTAGCCGGGAGCTGCTCAGTACCTGCAGCGGAGCTGAGAGACCTCCCTGTAACTGTGGATTTACAGGCCAAACGTTTAGCAAGTGATCCCTGGCAGTCCCATTTACCCTCCTACAGCTCTGGGTGTGGTGTTCCTCCATCTGTTCTGGGTGGCTTCCTTTGCATTACGGCTCACGGATGTCAGGGTGTTGTCACAAGCAGCGGCTGGAGACACCATCTGCTTCCAATTACTCTGTGACAATCTGCAGGATGACGTCCAAGATGCTGCACAGTAAACTGCTACAGCAGGTACACAAGAGCCAGAAGGGAAAGGAGACAGGAATCGGAGGCTAAAGCCGAAACTTGGATCTGACTTTAACTGCGGCTGAGCTGAGTCACTCTTGCCAACAGAGCCATGGAGCCGGGTTTGGAAACCTTCAGTTTTCCATGACTTGGTGGATGTCTCCTCTGTAATTGGCTGCTCTGAAAGACCAACAGCTGCTTCTGGTTTCAGGTTTGGAAAACTAGCTCTCTGGTAAGACATGAAGGAATTGTTGAAACACTGAACGGATGAATCTGTTTCTTTTCAACAAACTGGAGCGCAAACAGGTTGGCTTTTCAGACATGATAAGACTTTGACTCAAACTTTTCTTGCACGTTTATTAATAGTAACCTGACATCACGTGTTGCTTGGACTATTTCGGCAAAGTTATGCATGCCATAGAGATACGTAAGCAGTAATTACACCTTCTTAGGCTGCATTTCTTTCATGTCAAGACAGCACAATGTTGCACTTGAGTTCCAGATATGTACAGTGCAAATGTTAATGTCAATATTTTTGAAGAACTTCCTTTTCACTCTGTTCTGGATAACGTCACCATTTTCTGGATGATTGTCATAAAATGGAGCAGCCAAAAGCCATCCTGAAATTTTTCAGGACCCTCTCAGAGGACCAAAATGAGAAACTAATGCAGGAAGAGCTGAGTGTTGATCTCAAGAAAAATGGGGACATAAACTTAAAAGGTGAACATTTTAGAGATTTTGTCTCGTATGTTATTTTAAGTCATGAAGGTGAAAAAACTACCAACTCAGTGGGATGCTTAACTGCAAGGGAAGGAGGAAATGAGTCAGACACAGACGAGGGGGAGAGGAATCGTTTTAACCTAACAGAGCAGCAAGACACAGCTGTAACGTCTGAAACTGACTCAGAGAAACAGAGCTTTGTGGCAAACCATGATCAGAATAACGTGCCAGATGAACACAAAGTTAACAGTTGCAGCAAAGATAGTTGTGACATCTCACAGAATACACTGGATGAAACTCTGAAGACAAAATGTCAACACATTTCAACTGACTGCACAAATACAGATTGCAGTTGTGTTGCACCAATCAGCTGTAAGCAGGATGACACTAAAGGAAGCAACCAGGATGTAAAAAATGACTGTGAAGGTGCTCACTGCAATGAGGATTCTGTCAGAAGTACATCCACTTTGGAGGTGGGTTTTAATCCTGAGGAATCTGCTCAGACAGGACCTCCTGTTGAAGAGCAGGAACCAGCACTGGAGGAGGCTGAAAGTGAAGAGGAGAGGATGAATGTAGGGGAGGAAGAAGAGGAGAAAAGAGATGTATTTCCAGACTCTCCTCCCTGGCTCCACCATCCTCCCAGTGCCTGTGATAATTCACCTACTATTACTATAACATCTGGAGTCCAGGCACCCCATCCTCCACCTGGATCCACCTTCACTAGAGCCACCTTCTCCCCAGGCTCCCCCACCAACAAGCAAACACAGCTCCCAGCCCTCTTCAGCGGCCTCAGGGTGCTGAGGAAGGGGGTGGTTGGCCCCGAGCATGACACTGTAGCCCAGATTAAACCAACTTCTCAGGGAGCGAGGAGAGCGGTGGTTGCTGAAGAACAGGGGGACACTAAGATTCAAGAAAGTTTCCTGGGCCAGATCTCGCAGTTCCTGAGTCGGGAAAAGAGAGGAGATAAGAAAGAGGAGGTGAAGGATTTGGAACCCAAAGGAGCGCAGGATGAAACCACAGTGAATGGAAATGAGGAAAGTGGAGAAGGTGAGAAGACAGAGCTTGAAGCAGTGGAAGATGCAGAGGTTTCACAGTCATTTGAGTCCACAAAATCCTCTGTGTCCAGCGCAGAGGCAGCTTTTGATGCCTTCAAGGCTTTTTTCACTCCCAAGCCTTTGAAGAAGGATCCAGCAGAGAAAGTCGACCTGGAGGCATTAAGGAGGAAGATAAGAGCTGACAAAGACGTACTAAGAACGCTTTTTGACAGAAGCTCCACTAAGACTCCAGACAAGAAAGACCCGTCTGATATCAAAGTATGCACCGTGTGGGTCTGGTTAACTATTATTTCTTTTAAAGTGAATCATGTCAATTTGTCAGTCTTGAACAAAACAAGACAGAGCCTTGTTTTCCTTCATTATTGTAGTTAAACCTCTCCGTTGTTGATCTCTATTCCTAGTCTGAGGCCTCCACCCCAGGAGAAGGAGAGGAACGAACTCCTGGACGTTTACAAGCCGTCTGGCCGCCACTGAAGGATGAAAAAGTTGGGCTGAAGTATACAGAAGCAGGTACTTACTCATTTAACTAACCTGGAGTAGTTACTTTTTCTTCCCTGAAAGACTGTAACAGTTTTTGCAGTTGGAAACACACAAGTTTCTGCCGTGGAAGATGGCCTATAATTTGGAGTCTCCCACATCCTCCCACTGTATGTTTATCTTCCAGTACGCCACCATTTAGCATTGTCAGACTTGCAATTGACAGTTGATGCAGTGGAACCAGAAACATCTTTTTTTTCTTTTCCTTGCCAACTGCAACTTGACTGTGAACACTTCAATCTGATTTCAGTGTCTTATACCAGCAAAAATTCAATACAGTATTGATGCTGTTACCATCCCATGTGCTATAAACTAAGCAGCTTCCACATGATGCTGGATATGAAATATTTAGGATTTTTTTTTCAGTATGTTATATCTGATGTCAAGGAACAACTACATATTGATTCTGTTGCTAAAAGTGTATTAACAGATAAAGGCCGTGTGTGATTGGGGTTCAGTGAACCTTAGAAAGGCAAAACTCCGTTAGATCAAGGAAAGAAAAGACATGTAACTCATCTCTTTATTTGGAAAGGCTGACATTTCACTCACACAACTCAAAGTCTATTAATAATCCATTGTATTTAGCCATTTTTTTACGACTGCAAACACAAATAATGTGCCATGTGGTGAATGGCTGAACTGTGCCATTAGATTAAAATGTATGTTTGCTCTGTGATATCATGAGATGGATGTAATATCAAGATCTGCTGTGAAGGTAAACACAGCTCCACCCTGTCAGTGTCTACAGTTGGTATACTGTGACTGCACCAGCTGTATGTGAAAGCATTTACTGGAGTACACATGTGACACTGCTTTTCTTTAAAAAAAAAATTTAATCTTCTGTTTATTTTTTTTTTTTAGCTTGGTTACACTGCAGCTGATAGCAGAAAAACTAGTCACTTAATAATAACAACAACAATAATAATAGCACTTTTGATTCTTTAAGCTAATATCTGATGCATTTGCAAGATGATTGAATAGATGTCAGACAGGTCATACTTAAGACAGATGTTAATTCGTTGCATTTTTAATAATAGTACTAATCATTGTTTAAGAGCACTTCTTCGTTTTTGGTTGTGCTTCTGGTTAAAAGCGTTCTTAACAGTCTGGAGTTGATTAAGAGATTTTTGGTTTAGGCAGGTAATGCTGATAATTGCAGTAATCCAGCTTTGATGAGATAAAAGCATGTAAAATGGCCTCTGTGTCTTTAAACTTTAAGATAGTGCTTAATTTCGAAATATTTCTAAGATGAAAAAACTGCGATTGCACAGGATTCATTGTGTGATGCTTGAAGTATAGACCCCTGTTAAACCAGATGCTGGGTTTCATTACAAGCTCGATGTGATCTGAAAGTAAACCAGCGGATGGCAGAACCTCTATTGCTTTGTGCTGTGACCCAGCAACAAATAATTCTGTTTTGTCTGGGTACAGCCGAAGACCAGCAGTCAAGAAACAGTCTAATGCTTGACCTTCTAAAATAGGGCAGTTTAAAACTTTTTAAACTAAGAAAACATGGTTAGGTGGGTACTTGTTGTAAACCACTCAGCTCACCAGCAGGAAATGTTTCTTTTGTAGGAAATCCAGCATTTAAAATGACATTCTTTCTGCAAAAACAATACAAACATAGATGTGTGTCAGAGCACCAGGGTGGTGGAGCTCAGTACTTCTGCTGACAATGTCCTTGCTGGGGTTTTTTTTTTTTTTTTAAACAGAAGGTCACTGCAGTCTCTAAAAACCATTTCCCTTCTCATCACCCTGAGCACTCAAACTCAGATGTCAGAACAACAAAAAACAAAAAAAATCCTAGAAATCTGTAAATTGTACTCTGTGCTGTTGATTAAACCGCTTGTAAATTGTGAATTACCAAAAGTTTTAAAGGATTTCATGGAGAGGAAAACGGTAAAAGAGAGCTTTTTTTTGTTTGCAGTTTTCTCTCTCTCTCTCTCTCTCTCTCTCTCTCTCTCTCTCTCTCTCTCTCTCTCTCTCTCTCTCTTTTATTTTTATCAGTGGATGAGTTTGTACAAGCCTCCAGCTTTTGTTGTAAAAAGCTGTCATCTGTTCATCAGTAGGATTACCCAGCAATGTTTGACCAGGGATGAAACTGTGAGCTTCATGCGAACACACACCCACAGCCCTGAAAATACTCTTCCTGTAAACACTGTCAGGAAGGTGGCAGTAAATTTACTTTCCCACTGACCGTTCAGTAGCTTCAGTCATCCATTAGCAGATGAATGTTTGCCTAAATAGTTGGTTCAATAAGCCAGCCAGCTCTTACCAGTGAGCAGCATATTAATGTCTCTGTTACTTTTGAGTCTCTACTGCCATCATCTGGTAAAACTCTGTATTGTTCCTGATTGTTTCTGTCTTCAACATCCTCCAGCAGCAAGTAAAACATTGTTTTTTTTGTCACGTTAGACCAGTTGCAGTTCTCGAGTGTGACTTGTCTGCAGCTCATAACCCCTCATCACAAACTCAGGCACCGTGAACATCTGCTGCAGTATGAGGAAGAACACGACGCTGTGGTTAAATGTTCTGTCCTGCTGATGTTGTGTTCTGTTTCCTCTCAGAGCACCAGGCTGCTCTCCTGCAGCTGAAGAGAGAATGCAAAGAGGAGCTGGAGAGGTTACAGGTCTGTATGACAGGACGCAGTGAGCTGCTGAGACGTTATATACTTTATGTACTACTATACGTTATGTACTTTATATGCTAAAGAAACAGATTTGTAAAATTCATGTGATTGTTTGCTAATCCCTTTCAAATTGATTACTACACTCACTCCCACAGTTTTCTCCAGTTTGTGCTCTTTATGCACCACTACAGTCAAGTCACAGAGATAAGTGTTCATTTTTCTGGATAATCGAATGGATCCCTGGTTTAAAAAACAACAAAAAACTTCAATAAACCCCCAAACACTGTAAAACTCACCTCCCATCTAAAGAACAACACAGCAAAACTGCTATGTTGCAACTTGGTTTTCTAATATGAATAAAGATGCCAGATTCTCCTTTCTTACTTTGCCGTTGTTGACCTTGTAAAACCCAAATTTACATTTTAGTCCGTTTTTAGAGAAATATTGTAATATTGAAATGCTGGCCCTAGCTGGGAGCTGGGTATTTGTACTCACATTGTCTGAACAAAGACACCCAGATATGTAGAACTGCAACATAATCAGTAAGGTTCATCCTCTGAGGACTATGAATGTCCTCATGTCTAATATATGACCATCTGTGTTTTTTGGTGTCAGTTTAAAATGTCTCAACAACCGGTGAATAGACTAAAGATTTTATACAGGATGATTTTAATTATGTTAATTTTTAGTAGCATTTTTAGTGGAACAACAACTTGCCATAGAGTCTCATTCAAACCAGATGACGTGTGGTTCAAAGTGAAATCTCTGGCTCATTCTTCCAATACTTGTAGTATTTATGAACTAATCCCTGCAACACTAATAACACTCTCAGCAGCCTCAGTCGTGGTTTAGTGCTAACAAATGTAAACTTTAGTGTGTTGATGATAACTCAAAGCACCACTCTGAACACAAGCTCATAAAGCTGAACAGACTTGGTGAAACATAGAACTCTGGCAGTTATATCTCTGATGCTCATTCCAAAAGGAGATGCTTGGATTGTCAACGACAAATATATCAGAGACCCAAACTGTGCTAAACCCTAACAACCATTATTTTCAGGAGGACTGCAGCCAGGAGCTCTCCAGACTGAGGGTGGAAAATGTGAACAATGTTGTCCGTCTGGAGTTCACCGTGGCCGAGCTCCAGGCCAAACTCTGCCAGGTTGGAACCCACCGTCCCGGCGAACTCAGAGATGTCGCTGTGTCCACAGCAGACGACTCTTTACAAAGATCATTCCGTACAGTGTGCATCCAGACAGACCGAGAAACCTTCGTCAAAACTCCCGACGATGCCTGTGTGAGCTCTCAGCAGCAGAAGGTGACCCCCAAGAAGCTGGACCTGACTTCCATCAGCCTCAGCCTGGCTGGTCAGAGGGATGATACGTTGTCCTCCTCCTCTTCTGGACTTTCATTTCAAACTCTTCCACCTGGAGACTCACTTCCTCTGTCAGAACAACCACCTGCCTCTTCTGCAGTGTTTCCAACCAAAGCAGACACTGTCTCCCCTCCTCCTCCTCCTCCTCCTCCTCCCCCACCACCTCCACCATGTTCATCAGCACTCCTAAACCACATGCAGCCATCAAATGGTCCTCCACCTCCACCTCCGCCTCCTCCATCCATGCCAGGTTTACCTCTTCCTCCCCCTCCTCCTCCAGTTGGGGGTCTCATGGTTATGGATAAACCTCCCAGGAAACCAGCAGTAGAGCCTTCCAGACCCATGAAACCGCTTTACTGGACCAGAATCCAGATCCAGGACAACAAGTAGGTTTAACACCAAGAATATTCACTCATGTCCAGATCCTGCTCTTATATATAAGGATTAATTATCTAATAATGTCTGTTTAAAGACCATGAAACTCTTGACTCATTTATCCAAATGTCAGATTTAAAAGCACTTAAGGAGGCTGAGCTCAAACACAGATAACATATAGTTATTTATTGTATGAAGTAGATAGACTGGAAAGGCCCTGCTGCTTAACACTGACTTGAAGAATGCAACCATCTACTCACAGCTTTATCTTTTTACATTACTTGTGGAAATGTGTTTTCACTTTGACATGGAAGATCCTTTTTTGTAAATTGGTGTCCAAAAAGTCATACAATAGTGACCTGGGTTCACTGTTGAAAAGCAGTAAAAAGGGGAAAAAAATCCAAACGGGGTGAATACATTTCAAAGACACTGTAAAAGTTACTTCTTGTCAGACGATTAGTGAGATGTGAAGAAATCAAGCCCCCACTCATTTCATAGAGAGGTTTTAGTATCCAGCTTGTTGTGTTGCAGCAGAAATCACACTCAGAGAGATGATTTATGAGGTTTGACAGTAAACTTTTTTCTCTCTGTCATAATCGTTTAAGGCCATTTCATGTACAACATTACGTGTGTACTTTCTGTATTATGGTCATGAACCTGTGATTAGTTTTGATTATACCTTTATTTTTTGCATACCAAGTAATCACAAGTGATCAGTTTTATTGACTGATATGAAAAGTTGAATGAATATGTCTATGTTATAGTTTATCAACAGATTAGACGCCTGTCTTTTGGGTCACTGTGGTCAAAGACAGTCTGTCATAAAAATTAATTCAAGTGCATTAAAAACATTTAAAGTATTCTATCAGTCTAACAGCGGAATGAATTGTTCATGATCCAATAATAATAATGATAATTTTAGGATAATCGCATCCTGAAACTAGTTTGTTCAATTAGTTTGTTTCTTCATAATACACTGTATGAAGTAACCTGGAACATTTTCAGGTAGAGTTACGGACAGTTGTCTGATTAAAAAAAAAAAAATTTGCTAAGTTATATTTTAGTGAAATAAGACATTGTTTTTGAATTGTGGTTGAAAAGAATGATTTAAAAAAAAAAAAACTGTCAAAGACGCTCATAAGATCATTTCAGTTTAAATCATGTAAGATATGTTCACAGTCCTTGTCCTGCTCAGGACATGCTCTGTTGTGTCACTGATTGAACATTGTGTTTCTGTCTCTCTCAGTAAGAACACACTGTGGAACCTTTTAGAAGAACCAAACATAATAAACGCCAGAGAGTTTGAGGATCTCTTCGCTAAAACCACGACACAGTCCAAGAGGAAGCCACTGTCCGAGGCTTATGAGAAAAAAGCAAAAGCCAGGAAGGTAAGAAAATACATTTCAACATCATGTTAAAAACTATTAATCCTCTGACGCAGCAAGTTATTCCTCAAAAACACAAGAGGTTTGCAGTATTAACAGTCATGTGTCCACTAGAGGGGGTCGATGACGTTGTGTTGATGGACTGCTCATCTCTTCAGACTATTTAAAAGGCCATGTCAATACACTTATGAGGCTGAAAAAACTATGTTTGGATGATTGAAGCTCTAAAAATCACTCCATGTTTTAGTTTGCTTCCCTGTACAGAGCATCGTAGGGCTCACATCTCTTTACCAGTCAAATTAAACATCCATCCATTATCTATACACCGCTTAATAGGGTCGTGGGGGGCTGGAGCCTATGACAGCTGACTCAGGATGAAAAAATACTTTATTTATCCCAGAAGGGAAATTCAATATGGATGAAGGGTGAAGGCAGGTTCACCTGGACAGGTAACCAGTCTATCACAGGGCTACACTTAGAGACAGACAACCAAGCACACTCACATTCACACCTACGGACAATTTAGAATCACCAATTAACCTCAACATGTTTTTGGACTTGTGGGAGGAAGCCGGAGAAAACCCACGCTGCACGGGGAGAACATGCAAACTCCACGCCGGTTCGCGTTGCGAGGTGACGGTGTTAACCACCGAGCCACCCTGCAGCCCCCAAATTAAACATGTTACATTCATTTCACTATTGTGATCTCCCTACTTTAATAAAAAGTATATTTTGCCTTCATCTGGTTTCTGATCAGTCAGCTTCTCAGTCTTAAAGGCTTAAATTCTGACAACCTCTAACTGCATTTTGATTTCATTTAGATTTTTAAGAATCCTAATGCTATAAATATATTTGCACAGCTGTTTTTAAACACAAAGGCAATCCAAGGTACTGTAAAATGATAAACGTAAGACATGAGAATGTTGTAAAAACATTAAAGAGACAATTATAATGAAGTTTAAATTTCAAAAAAGCAAGACTTCATTTGTTCAAATATGACAACTGGTTGAAAATGCAAGAATGCGTCAGGGTGAAACGTAAAAAGAATGTTTGTTTTGGTCCATTTCCACTACAGACACTCCACTAATGACTTGCTAATGGGTTCTCGTGGTAAGGTAGTTATGGTAACTGTGTGTGTTTTAGATCATTAAGCTGTTGGACGGTAAACGCTCTCAGGCTGTGGGCATCCTCATATCAAGCCTCCACCTGGAGATGAAAGATATCCAACAAGGTGAGAACACTACATTCATGGTGAGAGCTGGAAAGTGACAAAGTACTTTTACACTTTTGTGATACTACATTTGAGTATTTACATTGTATGTTGTTTTTTTTAATACTTCCAGTCCCCTACATTTAAGATGGAAATACTATACTTCCTACTCCACTACATTTATCTGACAGCTTTAGTTAACATGAAGGCCTGACACAGTTTATATTGTGACAAGCTTTTCAAATTACACACATAGTTACAGATAACCAGAACCAGCAGTTTTCAGCCTTTTTGACTTCTTCCACAAAGCAGAGTGCAGTTGGAGTTAAGAGCTTCACCAAATTGTGATTTTCATTTTTAACCATTTATATGGTTTCATTTGAATAAATATTCAAATGATCCAAAAGATTAGAGAAAAAGTCTAAAAACTGACAACAAATTTGTGTATCAGAACTTTATTTTTTTTATTCTTTCTTCTCCATAAATCATGTGATAAGTCCCCAGATTTATCTGCTGTTCCTGTTTATAGAACTGAAAATGAAGTAGTTGAAAGTAGCTCTACCTGCATCATGCTGCTGACATACTGGCATACTGCTTCACTGTTAATAATCTAATGATAGAGGTAGGTGTTGCTTTCAGACTGCATGTAGCACACAGGTCACCTGATAGGGGAATTCGGTAGAAGAACCACATACGGATTTTTACTTCTACTTCAATTAACTCACACTCACAAAACAGTAAAACAATTCAATGAATAAAGATTAACTAAAAATAATCAATCAGATCACCACCTGCAGTACTCGTCTAAACTAGTTCAGATTGATTGTCTTTATAAGATTTGATTAGTTTTTCTATTAAAAATCAGAGTGATCCTCTTTAAACTGATGGCCAACACTAAGGACTTGTATTACAGTTTTTCTCAGTTGCTTTGGTACATTTCTCGAATCATCCTCGACATTTGCAAAACAGTAAATGCATTTCTCAAAACAATTCGTATGAATAGCAAAACACCACAGATTACCTGCGAAAAGCAGTTACTTGCTCAAAATCCTTAGTTCATCTCTCAAAACTAAATATCTGTGTCAATGAACATGTCAGTGCCATCAGAATGACAAGTCCTTGTATCAATGTGTACGGATAAGACAGTCAAACTGTTTAGTCATGTTGTCAATATAACAGTTTACTCTGGAAGGATGTTCTGATGTAAACTATGGCTAAAGTTTTGATTACAATTATTGGAAATTGTGAGTTACACATTAGTGTATGTGGGAGATTGATCGCAAGAGACTGGACAGGATTCACTTTTCTGCTTTTACTGTTTGTACTATAATTTGTTGATTAGATTCCATACCTGTTCTGTCGACGAAAAATCTGAATAATTCAGGACACAGTTGTTCTTCCATCATTAATCTACACCCTTTGACCAGCCTCAGCCATTGTAAGTCCATGATTGAGAACGTGGTCTCCAAATGTGGCCCTTATTTCATCAGGAACGTGCAGATGTTCTCGGCCTCTTCTGCCCCTTCCTCTGTTCTGCCTCCCAACTCGTCCGCCACACAGCCTCACTCCTCTTTCTCTTCTTCTTCTCTCTGGCTGTTGACCACATCCAATTCCTTGTCCTTCCATTGTCAGACACTGTAACACAGTGTTGTACTCTGGCTATATACATATATACTTGCCAGTTGATGGTTCATAGGATGCACATTTGAGCTATTTCAGAAAACTGGTTGATCATTGGTTGATCTATATAATGCTGCACACATTTCCATTCCCTTTGATCAACATGACAAAAGCAATTGATAATGTAGGAAACAGCAGAGAATTGCACATAATTATTTTCATGGATGTACCAAAGCATTTAGAACTTGTTCAAAGAAATGAGAAACTGCTTTTTTGATGTGCACGAGTGACACAATGATGTGAAGATTGAACGAGTAGTTTTGAGAATTTCAATTCTGATCTGAGAAATGTACCAAAGAGACTGAGAAAAACTGCAATAAGAAGTGGGACAGCTTTTATATTTTCATCTTTACTGACCACTGGTCTTATTCTTTCAGTTCCTTAGGTTTACTCAAGGTATAGTAACACTTTATAATCCAATACATGAAAATATTAACAATACTATATATTAATAAGTTAATAATAAAGTGGCCACTGGTGTGTGAAGCTCTGTGGCTGGTTCAGAGCTAATCAGGCACAACTTATGAAGAAAGCAGCTGTTTATGAACCAACCATCTCCTAATGATCCACTAAGAAACCATCTCCCAATTTGTTGTTTTATTCAGTTCTCTAGTTAGATGAGAACTAGAGACTTGCTAGCTATGATATATTAAATGTTTGTTTTTTCTGTGGTGTAAAGGCCTCTGAAACAGCATTTAGACTAAACAAACATCACCATGTGCCTCATATGAGAGGTGGAATACAGAAGGTCACCAAACTAAGCTGTATTTCCCAGCCGGTCTGGGAATTTGAACCTAAACATTCAGGTGACCGCAACTCCCTGAACATCACCGTGTTTAACTTGGACCCCGGCATCCTGCTGAACGTACCCTGTATTTCACTCTGAATATGAGCTTTTGGTGAACTTAAGGCAGGATTAAAGGCTGAAACACTCACCACAATGTCAGCAAGACGAGGCAATCTCCACTGCTAATCCCAAACTGCACAGTCTTTGTAGCAAACAGAAGATTGTTTTTCCTGGTGAGAGAAATGAGAATGCAGTTCTTTGTTTTGCCTCTTTACTTTTTGTTTGTAAAAGTTTAGTATTTTTCCATCCATTTTCTATACACCGCTTAATCCTCATTAGGGTCGCGGGGGGGATGGAGCCTATCCCAGCTGACTTAGGGCGAAGGCAGGGGACACCCTGGACAGGTCGCCAGTCCATCGCAGGGCCACACTTAGAGACAGACAACCAAGCACACTCACATTCACACCTACGGACAATTTAGAATCACCAATTAACCTCAACATGTT